TCTGTGGTGTATTGACAACTAAATATACAATAATTGGGAACCTTGCAATGAAAATTGGTGGTTTGTTAATATTACTCCTATACAGACATTTCTAAAAAAAAAAAAAAAAAGATTAAGAAAAAACCTAATTCAGAAATGTCTTTTAATAAAAAAAATAAATAAATAAATAAATAATTAGCTGTTGTTTTTTTTGTTTTTTTAAATAAATTCAGACATTACATTGTAGAACAAGAAATGTAAACAGAATTATAAATCCATATTATTTTTTATATATATATATTTTTTTATAATTTTAATTAATAGTCTGTCATAAAGTAAAGAATTCCATATTTCCTGCTGATAAAGTTAAATCTTGACATCGAAATAGCAGCAGCAGCAGTGATTGTCATTTTTTGTTTTGTGAATTGCTCTTATTTGAATGAATTTTTCTTCAAGTAAATCTATGATGAAGCTTTGTATTGAAGAAGCCACATTATCATAAACAGCATAATAGCTGTTGCCCTAATTATTGTGATTATTTGATGACCAGAAAATCTAATCTGAAAAGGGTTAAGTGTTTTGTATTTTGAATTTGCTTTTAATTGGAATATTACCAAAGTATAAACATGTAAGCTTAAAGTTTTTCATCATTCCACTAACCCAAAGACTTTTTAATGTTTAATTTTAGTCCACTCCAATTGTCATATTTACTTCCTTAATTACTTCCTAATCTTGACCATAGAAATGACTAGCAAGACTACTTGGCATTGTTTGGGTTAAATTAATTACTGTGATCACTAATCTTTTTAAGATTATGCATAAAGGATTATCCATAATCTAATGGAGAACCTGGAAATTTAAGTCTGGTGGATTTTAACTGAATATTCTAGGAGAGAAAAAAGATCTTGTATCAGATTTAGTTTGGAAATAAATCCATCATTAATATAAAACAAATAAACCTGGAATATTTATAGAAAGGTTGGAGAATTATTGCAACAGCACTGACAAACCTTTCTCTGCTTGTGTGTTTCTAGCTAGATGTTTTTTTTTTGTTGTTGTTTTTTGTTTTTCTTTCAGTAAAATGAAAGACCTTTTAATTTAATTTTTAACAGTGAGATGTGCATAGTACATTTCAGATTTTAAAAAAATATATAAACAAATATCACATTTTGTAACAGTATACCAAAAAATGCAAAATTCTATAAAAACATCTTTTTTAAAAAAAAAAAAAAAAAACAGCAAAATGCCGTTATAATTCTAATGTGACTAGTGATGCTTCTTTTTAAAGCACTATGATTCAAGTGGTTTTTTGGGGGGTTTTGTTTTTTTTCACACCTTCTAGGATAATTTTTTTGCCATAAGTTTTAATAATATTATTCAAAGATCTTCTGTTGTGGTCATTACCACAAACAAACTGATATAACAGTAGAACAGTAGGTGAATCGTAGTACGATATTTTTCCCCGCATTGGCTTGCTGCTGCAAAAGTGGTAGATTCGTCAGGTCGCTTATCTAACCCATGAGCCAATACCGTAGTAGTAATAATAGCAGTTGCTATAGAAAACGTTCCTGTTGAGCAAGGGGAAGTAACTCTGGGTTTTGCGTAGTCGTGCTTAACTCCCCATGAAAACGAATATTAGATCAGCCTGTCGCTTACCATGCTCCACGGTCAAATCCCATCTTCCTCCTCAACCATTATTTCGAGCAGCGGTCTTGTGGCTGGTGCCTGGCACTCTGCTGCTGTAATACCTCCACCGCCACCTTTGTTTTGACACTCGCATCGCAAAGAAAAGACGTGGACAACACACCTTTATCTTTCCGACGAACGACTACAGCGAGCTCGCCGAGAAAAACAACACCGAAAAGGCCGCACGCACACACACACGCACACACACACACACATACATACATACACGTTCTCTTTCACTCTCTCTTTCCAAAAGTCTCTGGTTTTATTACTGTCTCCCCCACCCCTGCTTGTTGTTCCAGGCCGACTAAGCGATCATCGATTTCTTCTTTTCTTTTTCATTCTTTATTTTCTATTTTTTTTCTTTTTTTTTTTTTTTTTTGTCTCACCATCGACGTCGAGATTCCTCAAAAAAAATGGTATATAATCTTGACAGTATAATATATATATATTTATATATATTTATTTTTTTTCTTATTTGAAGCACAGTATGAGAGAGTGGGTGGGTCGGTATGATAGGCATCGTGAGTGAGTGAGAGAAAATGTTTGTTACCTCTCTGGACTGTTGCTTTATTTATTGTCATTATTATTGTTATCATCATCGTCGTTGTTGTTGTTGTTGTTGTTGTTGTTATTATTATTATTATTATTATTATTATTATTGTTTTATCACCAACGCCATTATTTAAATATCGCGTTTCTTTCAATTTGCTATTGTTATTATTAACACGATTATTATCATTTATCGCTACAATATCCATGCTATGATAATTTTTCTTTTCTTTCTTTTTTTCATATCATTTTCCCACGGTGTTATCATGACCACCACCAATTATTGTTGTTTGATGTTGTTATCCCCCGTTGATTGTCAAAAAAATTTTTTTTTCCTTAAATTAGGTCTTTTTTATGATTTAAATTCAAAGACGATGTTTATATTTTTCTCAGTAAAAATGACATGGTTCTCTAGTCTTTCGATTTATATATTTATTTAAACAGAAATCCAGTTCGCCAATATAAGACCGTTAGTACATCGTATCTTTTACCGACCGACCGCCCCCTCTTTTGCCGTCGCCAACAACTTGTGTCCGTGTGTCCGTTTCTACACGCACACATGCGTGTTTAGAAGTTTCTGCGAGGTTATATATATATATATAATTTGTAAATTGCATGAATAATAACGGCATAAATATACTTGTAAATGTTGTTACTGATGTGTTCTGTTCACTATATGAGACTATATATTTTTACCTAAATTGTTATGCAATTTAAATGTTTTTTTTTTTTTTTTGCAAATATATATATTTGTACATTTATGATCATAGATCTTGTTTGCTGGGGGGGTACCATTTTATATTTATATATATATATATATATTTGCACGCACACAATCGCACTGTTGTGTTTTCTTCCCCCTAGCCCTCTTCCACTGTGCCTGCTACTGCCAGGGGAGGCAACTCCAGTTTTGATAATACTACAGGGTAACTGGCAGCAACATTCGTTGCTTATGAATATTTTAGTAGCGGCAAAATATTGACAAAAGAAGGGAGAGAAAGAAAGAAGTAAAGCTGTTAAGCGATTTGTGAGAGTGGGAAAGGCAACTAGTGAGAGAGAGAGAGAGAAAAAGAAAGAATCCAAAGTATATATTTACTGTGTAAAATGTATTTCTGTGTACGTGTGTTCGCACCTTACGTATGTATGTATCTTATGTGTGCTACTGTTGTTTGTGATGCTATTATTGGATTCTAGGTCTCTTCATTCCAATTTCAATGTGCGGACATTAATACTTTTGCGCGCATATATATATATATATATATATACCTACACACACACACAGATAAACACACACACACACACACTACTGATTATTACCATTTAATAATATTTATTAGTGATTTCCAGCAACTTTATAGTGTATTGAAATGGAATGTTTTCTATTTTATAAATAATTTTTCTTAACTTTCAATGTTATAATTGATTATCTCTTAATATTTTAGCAATTTTCTCAATATAACCAACTTCCACCAAAATCAATTTTTGCTCCTCCAATTTCAATTATAAATATTATCTATGATTTTTCCTGCTACTTGCACTTATTATTTTTTATTACATATTATTACTTTCATTTTCATTATTATTATATCATTACTTTCATTTTCATTATTATATCATTATTTCATTTTCATTATTATTATATCATTTTTCATTTTCATTATTATTATATCATTACTTTCATTTTCATTATTATTATATCATTACTTTCATTTTCATTATTATTATATCATTTTCATTTTCATTATTTTATATCATTTTTCATTTTATTATTATATCATTACTTTCATTTTCATTATTATTATATCATTACTTTCATTTTCATTATTATTATATCATTACTTTTTCATTTTCATTATTATTTTCATTATTATTATATCATTACTTTCATTTTCATTATTATTATATCATTACTTTCATTTCATTATTATTATATCATTACTTTCATTTTCATTATTATTATATCATTACTTTCATTTTCATTATTATTATATCATTACTTTCATTTTCATTATTATTATATCATTACTTTCATTTTTTCATTATTATTATATCATTATTTCATTTTCATTATTATTTTCATTACTTTCATTTCATTATTATTATATCATTACTTTCATTTTCATTATTATTATATCATTACTTTCATTTTCATTATTATGTTAATGTGTAATATCCAGATTTTTATCAGTTTTTTAGTTTACTGTTTTTATTAATTATTTATGCAAATTATTACTAATTTTATTGTTCCTCACTTAGGAAAAAATAAGGCTATTCACAATTATAATTATTTCTATTAATGATTGTTATCAATTAAAAAAAAATGTTAATTGGATTATTTCAATTACATTAATTATTACCATTTAATATTTACAATCATTTTAATGGCACTTAAATTTGATATTTTCTGATAAAATTTCTACAATGCTACCAGTTATTATTGCTAGATACTACTACTATCACTACTACTGCTGCTATGAATTTTACCTTCTGCAACCCCAATTGTTTACTTGTTACTAGTAATATTTATACTACCACTTCTACTCTTAGAAATATTTTATTTTTTTTACTATTACTACTATTTTTTTAAATTTTTTGTTTTTGTACTATTTGTTTTATCAAATGCAGATATTTCCTATTAGTAGTAAATATTAAAATAAACCCTTCAGTCATCACTAACTTTGTACCTGATGTCTAATATTATTTCTATAATGTCAAATAATAATTTCTGTTGTCATAATCATTACTAACTCTACCATCTCCAATATGACAGTTCTCACTTTTAGCAATCATTCCTTGTAAAACATTTTTTGTGTGTATTTGTATTGCTTTTCTTTGTCTCTCTCTCTCTCTCTCTCTCTCTCTCTCTCTCTCTCTCTCTCTCTCAATTTAGTCATTTTAAAAGAAATTTTTTTTTTTTCTTTTTTCTTTCATTTTTGAGAGTGAAATCATTTTTCCTTTTCAAATTGATTATTATAGAAAAATTCTCCTTAGATCTGTTTATATACATATGTTTGTGTTGTTTAAATTTTGTCTCTAAAACCTTTTTATGCAAGTTGCACACTGGCAGACAATTTTATTATTGATCAGATCCAGATACAAATGGATTCAGAATTTTAGTAAAGTATCAACTATCAATTTAGAATTAATTATCACTGGTGACAAATAAAAAGTCATTGATTTTAAGTTATTTGCTAACTTCTTTAATAGTCATTTTCTTCTTCCATTATAAAATAATTTTTTCATTTCAAATACTTCAAATCCTTTGTATTTGTAGCCCTAATTCTGGTGACATTCAATTTTAGCAAGAAATAATACAACGAATTGATCTTGGTTGGTTCCCAACTGCTGCAGGCTTACGGCCATATCACATTGATACACTGGTTCCCTTACAATCACCGAAGTTAAGCAACATCAGTCTGTGTCTGTACTTAGATGGGTCGCTGCTTGAGACTACCAGGTGCTGTTAGCTTGGATGTGCAGGTGGTGAAGTGGATAATGGCTCAGAATTAATTCCAATTGCCATTGGTTTTTGTTATATTTACTTACAAATACCCTTGGGGAAAGGTATGAATCTACCTCTTCTCTCCCCCAGCTATGGATTAATCGCTAAACCATTATTTCCAACAAAAAAAAATAAATTAAATTGTGTTCAAAATATTGAGATTTCAGCATTAAATAAGCCTTACAGATTGATATGCAGCAAAACAAACACAACTGCTGCACTTTGGAAAAAAACTTTTCTATTTCTTTCTTTTTGTCCTTTTTTTTTTTTTTTTTTTTTTTACAATTTACTTCTTGTTACCAACAAAATGATTTATTTCATCTCAATAATTAACAAATTAACATGTTTTCAATAAATTCTATATATATTAATTTTATATCTTTCATATTGGTTTCAAGTCCCTGAAATTTTCTCTCCTCTTCTTGGGAGATTGTAACTCATAGCTATTTGCACCACTCTTCAGACACAGCTTTTTATAAGCAGGCACCTTGATAATGAGAGAAGCCTGGATCTTTTTTTTTTAAAAATCCATCAGAAATGCTAACAAGAGAAAGGATGATTCCTTTGCCTCATCAGTAGAAAACAAATGAAAAATGATGTCTTTATAACAATGTTGGCTTTATTTATACCAAAAGAAAAATTAAATTCCAACCAAATCTTATATGCAAATTATTGAATTATGACAAAATATTTGTACTAATTCAATTGAGTTTTTTTTTTTCACTATTTACTAATGCACAACAGCTAACATCAATGCAATTGTCAAAATTATTTTAAACCAAACTTACATTATAATCTTTAAATCCACAAACTTGTAAAATCCATTTTTCCATATTGTCTTAGTTTCACCACAAGAAACTGTTCCTCTTTTGCCCAATTTTGATTTACTTCCCCCAAGGACACCAAATTGATTTCTTTTATAAAAGTGTCTATTTTAGGTGAAATTATACATTCCATGTTTATAGGTAAAAATTTCATTGTATAAAATTGATAGGATTAGCTATAAAAAAAAAAAAAAAAAAAAAAAAAAATTTTTTTGATTTATTGTAGCTGAAAATGTGCAACAAACAGAAGATGCACTGTAGATATTAAATACGAGATGTATTTAATGGAATTGAATTTATAACATCTTATAACATCTTTTCAACTGAACTGTTGTGATCCAGGATTGTCTTGAGTCATCTTTCTGCATGCGTTTATAAATCTGATATTTTTATTATGGATCTTTTTCGATAATGCTACATTTTATTTTTGGTATTTTCCATGACTTTTATAATGCAAGACATTTCTCTCCCTCTATTTCTCTTTCTCTATATCTCTTTTTACCTCTCTCTCTTTCTCTCCACATATATCACTCCTGTTATAAAAATTATTATCCAAAAATGTCTTCACTCATCAATTATTAAAACAGCAATAATCTTAATTTCTATATTAGAAACAGTATAAGCATGAAACAGCAAAATTATTTTTTTTTAAAAAGTAAACGTTATACAATGCCCAATTTAAGATTAAATAAAAATAAAAATAAAAATAACACTGGAACATGAAAAATAAGCTTTCAACAACCACCACCCTCCCTTCATTTGAAAAACTGGAGATTATTGTTTAGTATTGAAAATCAATTTCAACAGCACAGTTACTATTTTTTATTGTTTGCCATTTATTGACATTTGTCAAAAGTATTTCCCACTTGTTGACCAGCATCTCTTCAAACAGTTGGCTTTCATTAAAATGGCTTTAAGTTTTTCATATAAATTTCAAGTTTGAAGATGTTACCACTAAGCTATCACCTGTAGCAATTAGATTTGTGAAGTATTACTTAATGGTATCCGAGTTGGATTTAGCATAGACACCTGACAAGAGTTTCATTTGCTGTTTATAATTATTTTGATACAAATTTCCTAAAGAAATGAATGAGCCTTGACACTTCTTGTCCTGAATACAACAAAAGACATTTACCAAAAAGGAACTTGCACATCAAATGTTAATATTTGGAAGAATGTCCCATTTACATAAGACAAGGGGGAGGTGAAGGTCATGTTGTGTCAGATTGAAACTTTTACCCATGGTGCTTTTGACTTGATAACAATGTCACCAACTCCTCATGTTTCTTTCAACTGGAAACATCTGGAAGGACAGATTAGAAAGGAATTCAATCAATAATGATAACCACTTTACTGTTTATGTACCTTTTACAAAATCCATGAAAACTCACTGTTTTTCTAGCATAGAACCTGACACCCTCAATGTTTACAATATTGGGAGCAGGAAACTAGGTCCTTTGATCTAAGAATTTTTCTTTCTTTGAGAGAATCTATCAAGCGCTTTCCTAGCTGAGCAGTCCTTTGTAAACCTTTCAAAGAAACATACTACAAGAAAGAAAAAAAAAATTTTAAAAATGGGTAATTCATTTGGCCAATTTTTCCTGTATATATATATATATATATATATATATATATGCATGCTTTGATTTAAAATAAACACCTCAATAATTAATTTGCTCCCCAACTTCTAAAATATATCTATAAATAACTAATTATGCCACATGCCAACAGATTTCAGAAACTCAGGGGGTGGCCAAGCAACAATTCATGAGCCACCATGCAACTCTTTGATATTTAATATGCGTCTTGTGGAAATATGTTGGCTGAGCCCCTTTTCCTTTTCATCACAGTTAATATAAAATGTAAATAAGAAAAATTTCAAACTTTATAATTATTTACTGGGTATGAATTGAGGCCCCATTGGATTAAAACGTAAGGTTAATGTTAATAAAAACATGTGTAAATTTTGTTCAGGTCTTGCGGCTCTCAAACATCTGAACTTTATTGTATATGACTCTTACATTAAGCAATGTTAGCTATCCCTGGTGTAGATGCTTACTCAGAGGCTTTTTCTGTTAATTCGGCCTTGTTGTTAACAAATGACCCCTACTTCTGCAATGTCCAACACTCAAACTTCTCCAATGAATGAGATCCTATAAAAAAATTTTTTAATTTGAAAATTATTTTGAAAACTAGATGACTTTGTTCACATGCTAATGTCACCTAACAAAAGCAATGTCTTGTCAGCAGTCCTATTGTACATTCCCATCCTCTTCTCTCTCTCTCTCTCTCTCTCTCTCTCTCTAACATGCTCTTTCTTGTAACTTTATTTAGCTATCAACCTCATGATTAATTTTTAGCAAAACTTTACCCACTTGATTATTTTATACTTACTTTCATTAAATTTTTTCAGTTAATAATAATTAACAAATAAAGGGAAACTCCTTTTAAATTTTTTTTTTTTTTTTTTAATAGAAATTTAATATTAATTTCCCCCCTTTTCTCACAAACATCTTGACTAGTTTTCAAGTATTTTTTTAGTCTGATGTAAGGGCAGATAATTGAGGGTAGGTGCCGCATAAAACTTTTTTTTTTTTTTTTTTTTTTTCTCCAGCACCTGCCGTTTCGTAAGATGATTTGTCAGTTTTTGGAAGAGTGAACTTTTCCATTTACTTATGACTGTGCTATTTGCTGTTCACTTTCATATAATTATATCTCTTTGGTTGTCTGTTGCTACACATTCTTTTGAAATTTAATCAATTAATGCAGACACTTGTATGAATATCTCAATCTTCATCCTTGTCATCTATTCAATTCTTCTTTCTTTTTTAGTTCTAAATCCAGTGTCCAAATATTGAAGGTGAAGAAAGAGAAGACAAATACCTCTTGCTGTAATGGTGGTCCTACAGTGGTGAGTTACACAATCATTTTAGTCACTTTTACTTGAATGTACTGTTCATAATGAATCATACTAGTACAAAGCATTTTAATACTAATTATATAATTCTACCAGCAAGACCGTTATGAAGTGTGATTTCCTTCATATTTTATCATTCCAGCTGCAGTCATTCATCTTGTATACAAAGAGTTGCTCTACCTTTACTGCCTTGAGCATTTATATAGTCTGTTAGGCAGTCATTTACATATCACTACACTCTGTTTTATTTATGCTGGATGACATTAGGAGTGCTTAGTTTTAACTTCATTAAAACAATTGGTGCTTATTACATCATGGCGAGTGGTATATGGGTGTGCCGTTTGACAAAAAAATATTAAAATTGGCCTCTTTTTATTGATTGATTTCAACAGTGAAGATGGAAGAAAATTATATTTTTTAACAAATGATGCTATATTTTAAGGAAAATAAAAATGTAATTCGAAAAGAACATTTGGACAATGATCTACAGTAGTCGGGTATAAATCGGTAGAAGTTGCAATGCAAATTGCAACACTGATAAATAGTGGATGCTTAACAATATGGGACGTTATTAAGAGACTGGCTCAAAGCCTAATTAGATCAAATGAAGGCAGCTGGATGAAAAGCCTCTAGAATTAAGAGAAAAGATTTAATATTCCAGCCAGGATAATACTAGACTGAGTGTTTCTCTTTTGATGAGCAGACCAAAACATTATTATAGCTTGGCTGTGCAGTTTTCACTTGTCTGCCATATTCAAATATTCAACTTTTCTTTGGAGAGGTTTACTTGTCTCTGACGCCTTTTTATCTTTGCTTTTCTTTTCTTTTTGAGCGAGACTAGCAGCTTGACCTAGAAAGTAACTACAAGATTATGAACTCATTCTAATCAAGGAAACAAACCACTGTTCACAATAATAATTGTCAAATATTTTACTGACAGCTAAAAAAACAAAAATCAAAAAAAAAAAAAAAAACATTTATTCCCATCTTTATAGAATACACTTAACAAAAACAATTTCGGTTTTGGGAAGTTTTCAAAAGTGTAATAATATATTCAGCAACATGGCTTCATATTGTAAAGTGCTGCATGTCAATGTCAAATGTTGTCCAATGAAAACAAAGGATACAATCAGGTCGTATGAAGGTAATTAACCATGACTATATATGAAAGAGCAGTCAACCAAACGTTGGTGCCATGTTGGCACTGGCAAAAATATGATAGTCATGTGAGCAAATGAGATTGGATAAAAGAGGGTATCATCCTTCACTTGCTCTCAAACATAAATTTCAACTCGAGCAAGAACTCCACCCAAAAAGTTGTTTTTGAATGGTCGTACCAGTAATGCCGCAAACATTGACATCTTATAAAGAAAATGAGTTTTTAAATGTGACAATATGTTGTCAGAATCATTATTTTTACAATTGGTATGTAGCTTATGAGAAAAAGACATTGAGAGGAGATTTTTGCAGAGAAACCTGAACACTTCTCAAGAAGTTGCTAATTTAAAAAAAAAAAAGTTTGTAGAAGGAAATTCTTGATTTGCACTTTATTAAATTTTTTGTATATACAGCATAGATTACAGTGAAATCATACCTTTTTTTTTTTTTTTTTTTAATCAATTTTGTATTGGAGAAAATAGCTTATGACAAAATTATTGAAAGACTATTTACTTGATTGAAATTGATAATACCAAAGGAGTTATTCTTTTTCATTTACATTTTACACTACAATCGTATCATTGCAACATATTATGAGCCAGTAGAGATGTACCATTCTCCTTATATGAGTAGAATTTTGGGTTTTTTTGTTTTTGTTTTTTTTGGGGGGGGGGGTTGTTTGTTTTCTGTGCATAAATCCATGGCCATATTATGTTCAAATTGCCATATGGGTATGACTGGGTTCATACAGGTCCCAGAAACTTTGAAAAGTCCTGAAAAATCAACAGAGACTTTTCTATGTCTTTCTCACATGAGGGATAAAAAACACGTTGGACACTTAGTTCTATTCTTTGTCTAGCAAGAAAGAATATTAAAAACTGTGGAAAGTTGTTTACAGATTGCTGGCATTTTCTCATGGACAAGCTTCAGTGGAGATAGTTTTCTCAGTCAGTAAAGAAATTTCTACTGACAATATGTAACTTCAGACACTGGTCACACAGCAAATTATCATGGTCTATTTGGCCACAGTTGGAGATGCTGGGAATGTTCCCATAACAAGGATCTTCTCTGCAATGCTTCCAATGCCAGAACAGCATACAACCAATACCTTGAGACTGAGAAAAAAAAAAGCAGGAAGAAACAGCTGGGCAAAAAACGGAAATCCATGCTTATGGAAAATGAAGAATTGAAGATCAAGAAAACTCAAGCTTGAAAGTTGCGCACAAGATTTGCTCAAGTCAGCCGACAGCTATGAGGAGAAAGCTGAGCAGATTCAGAACTTCACACTTATTACAAAGTCCAATATCATGTAAAGATCTGCAAAGGACAAGTCCATAGAGATATCAAAATTGGAAGAGGAGATGAATACTAAACTAGATGAACTGAAAAAATATTAACATCATTGTGTTCCATACCATGTTCAATGAAAGCCATGAGTAGTAGGGCTGGCTAAAATGGGTTGTCTTTTTGTGAACATTTCTATTTCTAGTTCTATTCATTAAAACCATTACATCACAGAAAATGTGTAGCAGTAAGAATTCAAGTGTGTAATTCAACATTTTCAAGTGTAGTAGAACTCCAAACTGTATAGAATGGTACACAAAATATGTAACATAGCCAGACCTGCATTCAGTTGTGTTTTTAGCCTTCAACACTTAGAATTCTTCACTGCTTTCAACTGATCCATGTGACATGAATTATTGGAACTAGTTGTAACTTTTCTTTGAAGATCTCATCAGGTAAATAATTAAAACATAAATCACAAAGTTTGTTTTTGAAATTGATGACCATTCACTTTGTGCACATGCCAGTTTCAGTCCTGGAAAACTCCAGATTTTTTTTTTTTTTTTTTTTTTTTTTTTTTTTGCTTTCGAGATTAAGATGTTTCTTCAACTAAAATATTTCCCCTCATTATTTTACTGGGGACAAAATGTCCTTAATATTCAGTATTATAATTCTTGTCAACTTTATTATAAACTTTAAGATGTGATTATTTAATTGTTTCCTTCATTTCATTTGCTGCCAAACCAGGTGAGCAAGTTCATTCCTAACTTGGAGAAAGCTCTGAATAACCTGCCTTTGGATACTTCTGATCTCATTCCATCTCACATGTCCGAAAGTTTTTCCATGTCGTCTGTTGCCCAGCAACAACAACAAGCCCAGCAGCAGCAGCATCAGCAGCAGCAGCAGCAAGTCCAGCATCGGCAACAAGCACAAAAACAAGTTCAGTCATCCATAAGTAACAATCTGGATGATGTGGGCAGCGATGATCCAAATGAAGATTACTGCGCTTGTTGCCGCAATGGAGGTGAGCTTCTCTGCTGTGACTCCTGCCCAAAGGTTTTTCATCTACAATGTCACATTCCAGCTCTGATGGGGGCTCCAAGGTGAGTTTCTCTCTATTAATTTTCATCACACAAGAGATTTTCTTTCTCTATACAAAAACATTGGCTTTTATGAATTTTGAAAGCCACACCACAGCATAAATGATGGCTGTGATTCTTCCCCATTCAGACTTTCAAAGTTTGTTGCATTGAACTGCAGAAAAAGAAAATGATTCAGTGCAAAATTAGATAAAAATTCTTACTTGTTGAAGGAAATAATGCAATCTTGTCATAATTTTGCAATGACATTTGTTTGAAGAAAATTCACTCCATTTATTTTCTTTAATGGATTCCTTATATAAAAAAGAAAATATTTACTTTTCTCACTCGGGTTTCAATAGAACCCAATGGCTCCCTAAGTAATTAAGTTGCATGAAAAGATTTTGGCTTCATTTTCAATTTTCAAGGAAACTTGATTTTTTACACTTCTTTTTTTTTTTTTTTTTTTCTTTTTAATTCTAATAGATTTTTGAGCATACTCACCAGATATTGGCTTTACACAGAATATTTTTATATGGTCGTTTGTTGAGATCTGAAAGTTCTTTCATGGGTTCATTCAGTCTACAAAAGTTACTTCCCTTGTCGTGTGAATTTCTCCATTTTCTGCTGATGAGCATCAATAATTCTAAGATTTCTAAATTGACAAAATATCATCCAACGGTATTTTAATCAATGAGAATTTTTTTATGTGCTGACATATAATAGAAATTTCTATTTTAAAAGAAATGCATTTTGTTTTTTCACTTTTTAGTGGTGGATGGAATTGCACATTCTGTGAAGACCCTGGCTGTATTGAGGAACAAGCCCCAAAAGAATTTGTTATGAGTGGTGGCACAAAACGTAAAGCACCTACAGGCCTGTCGGAGAAAGAACTGAAGGTAAGTTGTTAAGAACTCATCTCTCTATACATAACCTTTTATCAATAATGATTCTTATTCAGAGATAGGAAATTAGTATTCAGTTTTAAAATTGACAATTCTACAAATATAACAAACTTTGCTCTTGAATAGCAAAAACTGTTAAATTTCGCCTTTTTATTTATAACATATACATAATTTTTGTTGGTAACTGAAAAAAAAAAAAAATTATTTCATTAACAGTATATTTTGCTAATATTGTTTTCTATTTGACACAAGGGTGAATGGATAAGTCCCCAGCTCAACAGCAATTAGCTGAATTTTGATTTGAAATCTTCATTGTCTAATAGTCCGTCTCCAGAGAGAAACATTGGGTTAACTCAGTGTTTCTCAACTTTTTTAAGCAATGGCACACATATGAACTTACCTTATTTCAATGTTTCTATTCAACTATTTGGGCAGCTTATTTACTGTAAACCTGTGTCTGGTGTTTTTTTTGTTTTGTTTTTGTTTTTTTCACAATTTCTTCAATGTTTAATTGAATGTGTGATAAGTGGACCATCATATCTTAATGAATATTAAAACAAAGTATTTAAAAATAACATAATCAAAGAAGTCAAAGAATTATTTGAAAAAAAAACAGTTTAATACTTATTCATTTATTCAAATACTAACACTGTACCATTACTAGTTCCACACATATGCACACGCACGCACATATGTATGCTGTGACAATATTTTACGGCACACTTAAAAGGATCATACGGCACACTTGTGTGAATCACTGGGTTAACTATATTGACAGCCAAGGAAATTGTATTGAAAGTATTTGTTGTGTAAAATGGCTTTTTTTTTCCTCTTTAAGCTACAGGTTCCTCCAAACACACAGACAAAAGGCTGAGAATTTATCATTTATTCTTTGCAGGTTTGTGAACGAGTGCTACTTGAATTATTCTGTCACAGTGCCAGCACTGCATTCCATGAACCTGTCAGTAAAGCTGTAAGTATCAAAATATTTCACTCACCGTCATTCTCTCAGTGATTTGCACATAAATTCAATTTCAAAGAAAATGAAGTGTTTCTCAATGGAAATTAATATAGGCTCTTTGCTATATTTATAAAGAAACACAATCTCTGTTCAATTTTTTTTTCTTTTAATCCAGATCTTTTATACAATAACTTAATAATCCTAAGCTTGTCTCATTTCCAATTCTTGTTGAGTTTAGATTTAATCCAACAATTTGTTTGTAACAAATAGTTTTTTTTTTTTTTTTTTTTTTAATGTTGATGATGTATTTAAAGAAAAAAATTTATTTGACTGATTCAACAATTTTTTTTTTTTTTCCTTAAGAAATTTACAATCTTTAAAACAGCAAAAATGGAAGGAGTTGTGGGTCGGGGTGATCCTTGATTATTTACTCATCCAGACTTATTGAATTTTATTTTACTAATAAGAATCTGTTGTTTATTAATGCACCATCTTTGTTTAATTCAAAGCAGCTAATTTCAATTGGATTAATTAAACATGAAATCCTGTCAAATGCTCAACAAATCAGTACAAGCCTGATGAGGGTAATAATAATAGTAGTAGTAACTGTAGATGGTTAAGTCAACTGCAAAGTCAAAATGCTCAAATATGAGGGTCTGATTTTTGAAAAAGTCAAAGTAACGAGAATTGAAGATGGAATTGGTCTTTTTTTATTACATATGGTAATTGTTTGGATGAGCTCTTCCCTATGGTACCTAGTTTGGTGACGAGATCTCATCAATTTACAATAGAGCTGGCTAGATGTAGCCATAACTTCTATGCTAACAGTTACTTTTTTCGTACTTCTCACTCTTGGAATTTCTTTCTGGCTCCATGCTTTTCCAGCTTTAATCTGCAAAAATTTAAATGCTATGTCAATCACTAACTACTGTCCTCCTTATTATTACTCTTTTCTCTTTCTCCTCATTACTAATGTTTCTGTTCCTAATTCCTCCACACCCTGTAACCCCCTTCCATTCTAACGTCTAATGCCTTGCTTGGGATGATACTGATTTTTTTTAAAAAAAAAAAAGAGAAAAAATTAACAATCTGTTTTTAACTTTTAACTTTGGTTAAATGAAGGTCTTGTTATCTACATGTGTTAAATCTGGGATTATATGGAATTGTATGTTAAAATTAGTTTTCTCTGATATGATTTACCTGAACTCACCCTCCCTCCTGCTAAATCATTTATTGCTTTTTGTTTTTTAATTTGGAAAATATACAATTGAATTTTTGATATTTTAATCATGTATTTAAACAAACATTTGACAGTTTTGTTTGTTTTTTGTTTTTCAGGTCCCTAATTATTACAGGATCATCACCCACCCAATGGACTTCACAACCATCAAATGCAAACTTTCTCGACAACACTTTAATCATTACAATGAAGTGGAGCATTTCATTTCAGATGTTAAACTAGTCTTCAAGAATTGTTCACTCTACAATTCTGTAAGTATTCACATAATTTATTGTATGCCTCTCCTAAATTTAATATAAATTAAGCCATTCTTTTTGATGTTATCTGAGTCGGCCGCAGTTGTTTCTCATAATAGTTAACCTTTCTATATTTTACTCTTTCAACAATTTCCAGTCTTGTATGCTCATCTCAAAGGGCATTACCCACCCCCACATACACACACACACACACACATGCACAATTTTAAAAGTACAAAACTAATATTTTAAGAGTTTAAAAAAAAGTTTCTTAAATTTCCAGAATTATTCTAACAAAGAAAAAAAATCACATTTTCACATCTTATGCATGTAATTCTTTGAGTTAAATTTAACTGCACCCCTTTTACAATATTTAAATCCATTTTACAAATACTTGAAGATTTTTTTAAGAAAATGTTTAGTAAATTAGCTTTCCCCTGATATATATTGTTCTTCTAGATTTTCAGGTTTAATTATTTAACCCTTCATTAAATAAACCAAGAGGAAAGTTGACTTTAAAAAAAAAAAATTGTGTAAAATTGAATGTCTGACTTTTGATGTCATCCTTGTCATTTTAGTTTTGTTCTCAAATCTCTGCTATTGATTTTCTCAAAAAAATTTTTTTTTTAATTTTGAATTTGTCAAATGTGTATAGAAGACTGACTGAATGCAATTGTATCGACAGAGAAAGTAAAGATTAAAAATATTGACATTTTTTTAAACATTTCTTTGAATCCATTTTCTAATTCAACATTTTTTTTTTCTTGTATTTCTATTCAAAGTAATGTCATTGGAAAATGTGTCCTTTTCTCTTGTTGTAGCTTTCAATATTGTTGCTATTTTCAGCCAAAGGTGGTTTTCCTAATTAAACTCATGCAATTTCCTATTCTAGTCCCACAGGCATTGTACACATGTTTTCCCAATTTCTGGATCCTCACAGCTTTGTTCTTCATTTTGCCATTCCTATTAATATTTATTCGTTGTTTGTTTGTCTCCTGAAACAGGATTCGTCTGAAGTTGGCAAGGCCGGCAAAACAATGGAGGGATTTTTCCATGAATTGGTCAAGAATTACCTCCCCTGCTACACGTCCCTCTTGTATCGAGAACTGAGCATCCACGACACAACCCTGTCTTCAGAGTCTGCATCGAAACGCAGTCGACCTGATGATGCAACGTCCGCTACTTCCCCTTCTCCTATCTTGTAACTGAAGACTTCCCCTCTCCTTCAAGCCATTTTCTCTTTCCAGTCTGTCCCCCACCCATTAACACCAATTGTTGCTGTCCAAAAACAAAAAAACTTTTGTAACATTGATGTGTTGGTATGCCTCAACATTTCATAGGATAGACATGGACCTTTTTTCTTTTTTTCCTTAATGTTCATATATATATATATATATATATATATATATATATATATATATATATATATATGCAGAGAGAGGAGGCAAAGATGGAGTTGCCAGCCAAAGCAAACTCTCCCTCTTTTTTACTCTCTCCACAATCCCCCCTCCCCTGTACATTATTTCTTCCTCTCTATCATCTCAGATTTGAACCAAAAGAAGAAAAAATTCTGCCGGGCCTGACATGTTGAAAAAGAAGGAAAAACAAAATAAGCAAAAAAAAAAAAGCATTTCAAACAGAAATGCTGTGAGTAAGAGAGAAAGAAAAGTATTGAATGGAAGATTGAGAGAAAAGGAGAAAAAGAAAAAGCAACAATAACAAAAACAAGGTGAACAAACTTAGATTGATAAGAAAAATACAAAAAAAAAACATTTTAAAATGTTCTTTTTTTTTTTTTTTTTTTCCCTCTTTGTTTATTTTGTTCATTTCCAAGTTTCTTTTTCTTTCTTTCAGTTTTTGTTTGTCTTTTTCCTTAATAAGGAATTTAATCTTCAAACTTTGGCAACCAATTTATAAAGACTAATACTGAACTCATCTAATTTATTTAAATCATTAAATAAATTCTTCATTGCTGCATCTGTTACAGTTTGAAAGTATTTTGGGGTGGGGTGGAGAGAGAGAGAGTAGGGTGGGGGCAAAAGGATATTGCAGAAATAGTACCTTCCATTCTTTCTTTTAGAAATGATAAATTTATAAACAGTTTCTATCCTTAAAAAAAAAAAAAAAAATATGAAAAATAACCTTGCCAATGACTGTTCAAAGCAAACAATAAAATTCACTCACAACATGATGACAATCAGGTTTCAATTTGCTGACGGATAACTGACAGGATGATGTGCAAGGCCACTTCAACCCTTTTTGCCATGAATGCGGTTTTGATAACAAATTGGCTTTTAAGCTTCCTCAGTGACTTTTTAAACATGCTTTCTTATTCTAGGAATTTATTTTTAGAATTTTTGGTAATTGTTTTCTGAGCCAGAGTGGTGAGGAAGGGAGTGACTGCAATTAGTCATCTTTAGGATTTCTTGATTATATCAAGGTTTTGGGGGTTTTTTAATCAAAAATGTCATAAAATTAAAATTAACTTTCTAATCTCCATATTTTCTGTTTTATGAAAATTTTTATTAACAAAAACTAAAATTTAGAAAAGTTAGAAGAAGAAAAGAGAATTAAAATAAACTTGTCTGAAGGAGACTAAATTTGTATCTGTTGTTTGGGTGAAGGAAATTAGCTTGGTGCACAGGCAAGTTCCCCACCCACCTTATGACTTTTCTTTAACTAATTATACTATGTTGCCATTATTTTCTTTTCTTTTTTTCATTGTGCACAATTAAAAACCCAAATCTTGACCCTAAATAAGTGGATAGCTCAAGAAAGAATGAACAAAACTTGATATATATATATATATATATATATATATATATATATATATATATATATATATATATATATATATATATTATGTGTCCATTGATATTTGGAAATTCAGATTTCAATCAAGAGTTATGTAAACATTTGAGTCCAGAACTGTCATTATTGTCCAGGCATGTTCTGGACTTGACTCTCCACTATGGAGCTGTATGGAAGCCCACAGCCAGAATATCCCTTACTGATATAAGGATTCAACTCTTCTCACACTCTCTCATATATATATATATATATATATATATATATATATATATATATACACACAAATTTAATCTTGCTTGTTGAAAACTTTCACTTTGATTCTGAAAAGACTTCAAGTAAATGAAATGTTATGTTTCATATGAAAAGAAATCAAATCTTTAAAGTATACAATTTTAGTTACCTCCTCCATTTTGATTTTATTTATTATTATTATTTTAACCATTCTTTACACTACTAGAGATTGATGACTACTACTGCCAAGTACAGTACCACCCAGGATTGGAAACAACAAAAGCTGTAGCCCTTTACTATTACTGACCACTGGAGGGTCAGGGTTAGTATCATATGTGCCGATGGGGCTAGTCATGGACATTGGGGGAAAGAGTATCTTCTTTTCTTTTTCTTTTTTCTTTCTTTTTTTTTTTTTTTTTTTTTTTTTTTTTTTCTTCAACCCTCCCCTTCACCTATTTATATGGTTAAAGCTCTTACTTTTACCTCTCCCCCCCCCCTCAAACTGTGTATATTAACAAAGCACTTAAAAAAAAGAGAGAGGAGAAAAATCATTTGTAAATACTTTTTTGGGAATGCGTTTAAGAAAAAAATATGCTGGATAAAAAAAAAAAAAATTTCAGTGAGGAAAACTGGGGAAAGAAAACTTTTTATTTTATTTTTTTTAAATTAGTATGTTAGAAATCTGGCCTTGTATTTTGAATATGAAAAGAAAAATTCAAGTTAAAAACCTGCACATGTGTTTGGCATGAAAACCAATCTAAAAATTGTCACAAATTTTAATGACACTAGGAAAACAAATGTAAACAAAAAAAAAAAAAACCTATTTCCTGTCTTCATTCCAGTTTACAATAATTGAGTGACCAAACTTCCTTTCTCCTATGAGAATATAATAAATCAATATTGGGTCGGAGGTTAAACAAATTTCTATATTTTGTGCAGATGAAAATTTGATGTTTTCTTTTTTTTTTTTTTTTTTAAATCAAGAACTTAGATCAAAATATGAAGCCATATTTTTAAAAAAATTTGATATTAAGGTAATTGTTTGAATGTTGTCATATTGCAAAAAGTGCCTTTGAAAATTGATTTGCCTTTTTATACCCCCCCACCAAAAAAAATATTCAATAAAGATTTAAAAAAATTTTTTTTTTTTTTTTTTTCTCTAATTGTCTGAGAGAATATATTGTAACTTGAGGCATGTGAGAGAAAAATTGAACTTGAAATACAGCTGCCGCTGTTGCTACAGTTTCTTTAATGTCTTCAAAAGGATATGTCATTTTGAAAATTTTTTTTTATTTATGCTTTCATTTCTAAACGGCATTAAAGACCCAGACCTTTTTTGCAATATGGTTAATGTCCAACATTCAAACATTGACTTTTCTCATCTATTTCAGAAGTATTTTCCTTTCTTCCTGTGTCTTTATAATTTGAACTTTCTTATTTTTCTCTGCCCTACAAACACTGCATCTTCTCTTTGTAGTCTACAACAAATTATTTGGCACTCTCTACCTGTACATCACTTCAACTACCCAATCCCCATCTCTCCTCCAAGTGGTCACACCTAATTTTTTCCAACCTATTCTCTTCTCCTCTTTTCCTCATTCCTCACCTGAGGGAATCTTAGGCCCTCAATCTTTTACCATTTTCATTTGCAGGCATTGGGAGGGGGGGAGATTTCTTCTGTACAGACACTTGCTAAAATGAGTGTTCAGGCCAATGCCATATGTGCTAAATACTTAAGTAGGCTGACAATTCAATCGGCAATCTCTGATCTTTTTGTCATCATGGCAAACCCCTAATAGGTATCTACATCTCGACAATATAGAATGTGACTGGAGTAGGTTGTAAAAAGTAAACCACATGATGCTTTGACTTTTTTTCTTTTTTTGACAGGGGAGGTACAGTTAGTGATCAAATTCCCTGCACCAAAGGAGATTTTTGACTCTTCCCAAAAATGAATCAAAATAAATACCAGACGAGAATACAAATAATTTTATTCGTCCGGATAGATATCAGCATATGCATTAATATATAGGTGGAGGGGGAAAAAAATCTTATTCTTGTTTTGTGTGTCAAGTCATATAAAACTATGCACAGTTATTTACAGGTGAGACTTAGCTGAGTGGGAATTTTGAAGGTAGTTACCAAGACGAAAGCCACACCCTCAGGCTGAGTTTCCTTTTCGGTGATGAGTTTCCCACCTGTGACATCCATGATGGTTTACTGACTGGAGAGAGATAGTGGGTGGGGGTGTGGTAGAACCAGAGATTGACCATGAAAAGATTGACTTCACTTGACGTATACAAGCACTTAGTCTGTACAGATAACTGCAAATGTCTGCCATTCCTCATCCCATACTTACAGAAAAAAAAAAAAAAAAAAGGGAAACCAAAAAAGAAACCAGTACTTTTCCTATGTACAGACATCAAAGTATCTACTGTTCATACAAAACAAATGTAGATTTAAAGTTTCATTAAACAAGTGTTTTTTTCAATATGGCTTTGTATTTTTTCCTTTTTTGCCTATATTTTGTGATCTGATAATTGTCTTCACCATGCGTCAATTGTGTGTGTACATATTGTTTATTTTGTAGTATGTGTATAGAAGTCTAAAATATTGGCATTTATCAATGTGATGTTCGACAATATTTTTTTTTTTTTTTTTTTTTTTTCTTGCTGACAAAAATGATGGCCTATTTTAAGTTGGTGGGTTTTCACATGTCATTAAAGGATAGCTGAAGAAACAAGGGAGATAACTATAATACAACAAGACAAAATATAAAAACCCTTTCTATGTTGGATTCTATTAATACTTAGCATCACATGAAGAGCAGTCACTTTTCATGTGACAACCTGCAGTTTCAATTTCAACACTTGATTATCTTAAGGTATCAGACTCAAATTAAATTACAGAACTTTCACCAACACTTGTTTGAAATTAATCTTTAAAAGGAAAGAGAGAACAAGAAAAAAATCTCAACTGGGCATGAAAAACAATAACCATCCAAATGTAGACCCCTTGGGGCTATACACTAAATGGCCTGTCATTATAATTACCCCCCCCCTCATCCCAAGCTCTACAACTATCTTTCATTGAAGGATGAGAGAAAAAACATTAGGCTAAAATGTTGATTCTACTACAATTTTGACTCTATTGAGGTGGTGAGGGTGTTGGGTATTGCATTCATTGACGTCTTCCTCTTCAATCCAAACTTCCACTGTTGTCTT